CTTAGCAAAGCGCATCCCAGGCTGCATAGCCGCACTACCCTACCCAACCATACCACACATAAACATGACACTACCCCCGGGGTTTACACAGACGAGCCGGCGAAGCAAGAAGAGCGCCAGAAGAAAGGGCCCTAGCCGGCGGGGCCCAGCCAGGACAAAAGGAGGTCCCACAAAGCGCCTACACCGGCCGCATTTGCGGTCGGGGTAGACGACGGATGGGGCCCACCTACGAAGGCTGTCCAGGCCTACACGAGATGAGGCAGGATAAAGAGGGATAATCCCCCTTGATCCCAAATCATTGAGGCCAATTTCTAGCCATGGAATAATGGCACCTTACTTTGGGGATGGGATCCGAATTTGTACCACATATTTGTACGCGCGGCCCATAAGAATCTTTTTCTTCACTCCATTGTCATAGTCCATTAATTTGACCATGGACCGTAAGGACTAAGGAGTATGAATTTGACGGATCAAAATTTGAAGACGCTGTCAGTGTCTCTAAATTTTGCAATATTATTGAGTACTGATATTTTATAGTTTTCACTTACCAGTTAAATTTTCTTTGTAGATAAACATTATTGAAATTAGTCTTTCAATGAAAATTATATATTTCATTCTCTATACATCTGACGAACAGTAATGGAGCAACTTCCAGTGGAAATCATAGAGAAGATATTAACAAATTCAAAAATATCTATAGAAGATATAGTACACTTTTCTTTAACATGTCATCATTTTCACAATATTGTGACAAACAGCAATAAAATTTGGAGGACTAAATTATTCGAGAAGTAAGTATAAATCCAATATAAATGTAATGATGACTAATTTACTTTACATCTTTAGATGGCCCCAATTTAAAAGTGTACTGGAAAACAAGCACATTGTTTTCCAACATGAAATTCAATATATTTATGAATTAAAGAAACGAACTAGAAGTATGTTGGAAAAGATGCCACCAAAATTTTACAAGAAGTATGAGATATCAGACTCGGATCTTCATGAATGGAGTGCAATTCTCCATGAACGTGAAGAAGTGTATAATTATTTAGTTAAAGATCTTATGGATATAGTTAACATGGATGTACCTATTAAAAGTATTGAAGTCGTTCCTCTGAGGTAGGTTTTTTGAATTTATAAATTTAACTACCTATAGTCATGAATAATAATAATAATACATAAGGTTGCATGTAAAGTTGTTGAAAATAAACCTTCAAAAAATATAGTATACATCCATCTGAAATGGTACATTAAGTGCATGAAAATTATTTTATATAAATTAAACGTTGAGGACAACGCATGAGTAATTTGGTGTACAGGCTTAAATAATATTCAAGTACTGTTTGATAATATTTAAGTTGTTTAAAAATAATTATTTATGCATGTAAGTCATTTAAAGTAGGTAAACTTTGAAAAATTAATACATTTTTTAAATTACAAAAAAATACAACTATATTTGTATTAGATAAGTATGTTACCTTTAGGGATGTGAAGGAAGGTTTAACTTAGTCATATTTGCTTCTACGTTTTCATGCTATTTCAAATTTTATTCATTATTGTGCCAAATTACTAAAGGCTTCATAAAAGTGCTTTCTTAATGCATGTTGCTAAAATGCACCACTTTTGAGATAAATGATAAAATGTTAGAACATGGCTAGGTACAGACCAACACAAATAAGTTTGCGTTTTTGACTCGGGCAGAGTCTGTGCGAGATTGAGGAAGAACGCATTCAGCTGGAGGGAATAAGATTTAGGCACGGTGATTTTGGGTAGCGGCTACCCGGAGCTTTCCATTGCCATTTCCAGTGCACATTTGTGGATAGAGCTTTTTCAAACACAAACTTATTTCTCTGTCTGTTTGTACAGTTCGTTTTTTATCAAAAATTTCAAACAAATAAAATAATGAATAAATAGATACACCTTTATGTAAACAATTATATTTTAAAGGTACATAGCAATTAATATACCAAGAGTGAAATATAGTAATATTTATAGTCTTGCTCTAATCGTTTTTACAACTTAAAATAAGCCATAATTTTAAACATAGTGTCTCGAAATGTTGCGGGTATATGTTTAAGAAAATTAATTTTGTTAATTTTTGATGAAAAATATGTCATTGAGGTTTGACCAAGTAATTTAGGTATGTGCAATGCTACATTTGTAGCGTTATATTTTATGCTTCTAGTACTCCTGGAAACAAAACTTTGCAGTATTATGCCGGTAAAGTACTTAGATACATAAGGCAACTCCATTTGTCCAAAGTGTGGAAAAGCTACATATCACTACCGCAATCCAGGCAGATCTTAGAAATTGGAGCAATATTTGTAGCTCAGTGGTGCCAACCCAATGTAGAAGTAGCTTTTGAAGAGGTAACTACAAAATTGGACAAAATTGCAGAAGAGGTTAAACATGCTCTCTGTCTATCATATCCCTCTCATTCACTATTTAAGGCTTCCCAAGAAGAATTAAGTCTATGGCGTGTTGAAAACAGAACTGAAAACCAATGGAATGTTAATGAGTGCCGGCAGCTTATCTCAGTGATGAGGGAAGTTCTTTTTCAACAGATGGGTTTTAGTGGCAATAACCAAGCCTATTATATGCCACAGAATTCCTTCATTAATGAGGTTCTTGAAAAGAAACAGGGACTTCCAATAACATTAGCCATTGTTTTTGAAGGAGTAGCAAGGCGGTTAGGATTGCGTTGTGAACCAATCAGTTTCCCGGCTCACTTTTTGCTAAGGTTTTGTGAAAGTTCTGATCCTGATTCCGACTGGTACTACATTGATGTATTTAATGGTGGACAGGTAGTGAGGAAAGGGGCTTGTCCCCACAGCAGGTTTTCCGGTTCCAGAGATTTGTTCCCAGTGGCAACGGCTGTACAAGTTGTCGAACGGATGGCTAATAATCTTGAAGTTTCTGCTCGACAGCATGCGCATCCCAATGGAAGAATTACTAGGTTACGTTCTAGTTTGGAGCTCCTAAAGTTGGTGAACCCTAGAGATATATCTGCACTTGTAAGTTTAGCAAGGTTGTACATGTTGCACAATATGGATACAAAACCCTTGGAACATTTTCTTTTGTCCCAGGAATTTGAGGTTCCAGAACAAGCGCAAAGGTAAGGTAAAAATTACATTTTTTTATCATTTTTCAGTTTAATTTGTTTTACATTTACTAGGACTGTGAATTAATTTTGAGGAATTTACAATAAACGTTATAACTTATGCCTTATCACATTGGACACTTCTGTAACTATATTCATGTCAAAACTTTGTCATTAGGATTAACTTTTTATTACGTGTCATTTTGCTGAAGTGTAAACAACATATTTTTTCTCAGCTCTGAAGATTGTCGAATTACAAACCAACAAAACACCATTTGTGACAAGTTTCCTTTTTCCTGTTTAATTCAAAGAAAAGTGCTACTGAAAGTCATCAACTGCTGTTGAAACTTACTGAGCATACTCCATTGTTGAATGTTAATCGCACAATAGTTTCCAAACGTTTAATTGTACTTGGTATAATTCAAAAGCAAGGAAATAAACTGCCATACGAATTGAAACCGAGAGATGTTGAACGGCAATTTTTCACGTATGAATAATTGCTTCAACAGCAAAAAAGAAAGAATTTTTTGAATTGTATTGTCACTAGCGAAGAAAAATAGATATACTGTGGTAATCTTAAGCATAAAAAATCATGGGGTTGTGCTTGGTCATGCATTAACATTGACGGGAAGGCCGAATATTCATGGTTCGGAGCTCATGCTCTATATTTGGTGGGACCAGCTTGGTGTTGTGTACTATGAGCTGATTCAACCAAATGAAGCCATCACTGGAGAATGCTACCTAACACAATTGATGCGTTGGAGCCATGCAATTCGAGCAAAGGCACAATAAAGTAATTTTCAACATGACAACGCTCAAACACATGTTGCTCATAAGATCAAAAAAATACTTAGAAACACTGAAATGGAATGTTTTACCCCACCTGCCATATTCACCAGACATTACTCCATCTTATTACTATATGTTCTGATCCTAAAATGCGGCCTGGCTAGGCAGCGCTTCCAATCATACGAAAAATTGGATCGATTGGTGGATAGCAGCAAAAGATGAGTTGTTCGTTCCACTCACAATCCATATGCTGTCAGAAAGATGGGAAAATATAGTGGCTAGCAATGGACAAGACTGAAATATAATAATGTACACAATTTTTACAATAAAACCTTGAATTTACAAAAAATTCCCTATAAATTAATTCAGTCCTAGTGTAACATAAAAAATGAGAAAAGTTAAAAGAATTAGAATTGTCTTTAATAAATTCATGTTTCATGTCTGCCAGTTACATAGTTCTCATTTCTGATGCACAGTTGATTAATTGGACATTAAATTTTGCACTGAAATGATCATAATGATTATTCATCATCGTAAACGGATTTTTTTTACATAAAAATGGTTGCTCAAGATTAAAATCACCTGTTATGTGGAGATTCATATTTAATTCATAATTATTATAAAATAAGTTTAAAAAAATTAAGACAACATACATATTTATTTATCTGCTTTCATATGAAATGTGACAATTCTTTTTACATAATTTCCAATGTAAAAAAATTTGCTTTTATTAGAGGCTGTGCAATAAACATTTTTAATGTACGATTTCAGTTAAAAGGTCTCTCATTAAGGGGGGCGTTTTTATGGGTATTTTCAGTGAATTTATAGCAGTCTTGATGATCTTATACAAATTTTCTCCAAGATATAAGACAGTTTACAAGCTGACAATACATTCAGAATAAGGAAAAAATAATATTTTTATTTTTACTTCTTACGTTTATCATTATATTTCCTGAACTTTACATGCCTGTTAAATATACAGCAAATCGTTTGCGATACTATAAAACATAATCACACACCAAAGAATACTTTTCTGAAACTATTAACACATGAATTAATTATAATTATTAAGCATTTTTTTCAAAATGCTCGACAAAACAGTTAAGGTACATTCCAATGTTCATGTTGGCGCCCATGTTTTCCCTGATCTTTTATTGCGAAAAGTTAAAGGAGTCTTTGTATTTCAACATTTTTATTGTTTAGATAGTTTAATGGGTGGCTAGTCACTCCACAGCATTCCGGTGAATTGCCTAAAACTTCCTACACTTAAGACTACAAACTTTAAGATGACCAAAAAAAATTTTGAAAAAACCTTTTTTTCTACTCGGATATTCCCCCCTTAAGCAAAAACTCTTTGAAGTTGAGGGAATGTAGAGTATTTAATTCAGGAAAATTTTTAAAATTTGGTTTATTTGACAGTACCACAGATTTAGGCCATAATTCTAGATCTGTTGTAAACATATTTAATATTTTAGTTGACTTCCACCCATTTTCCAGAATATATGTTTCAGATCCGTACCCCCACAAATTGGCTGATAATAAGTCAGTAGGTATCACGTGGCAATAAAACTACCGCGTTTCCAACAGTCAAACACAATCACATTTGATTCGAAGCAATGAGTTTTGAACCATATGTATTATTAGGAATATAATGTCAGTGGTTAGAATTAGTTAAGGATTGAATTTGGGGAACATGATGGTCCACATACATTTTTCAAAGGCGAGATGAAGTATTTAACCACAAAATAACAATGGTTGAATCGGACGAGAGAAATATTTTGTAAAATATCAAAGCATTAACCTAGGAATAGTTACTACCTTTAGAATTACTCACGTTTTCTCGCAAATTAAATTACAGTGGCATTTATTGTCCTCTTCAAGTTATTTTAAGTAAATGCAAGTGCCATATGCATTTTAGGATGCATTAGTGAAAGCGTGTAATTCTATTAATGTATAAGAAAATACGTGTCCAAGAATATTTAATTTGTTGAGGTTACGTAAATCCTATTTAAATGAATTCTAGGTAGTGTGAATGTTTAAAGTAATAGATTCATTCCATTATATATTATAACTGCAACAATAGTTGCATAATAATTTTAACATTAATTAAAACAAATCCAAATAAACTATATTTTTGTGTTTTAGTTGTAATATCTTGTTTGGAATTCCATACGACTTAAAGTTTATTGTTAATTCATTGTTTCTTAAATTAATAAAATCTGACTCACTAATTTTGTCTGTAAATAAATCATTGCCATTGAATACCCACTTTCGTAGGTGAAAACCGTAGCAAGAAAAAATGTTCATCAATTCACATTTTATGCTCGAAATTTGTTATATTGTTGAGCCTCCCGTCTACAACATAAAAATCTTGTAAAATAACAACTACAATTAGGATTTTTATGTGAATTTTAAGAGGCATTTCTTCAACACATCTTATTGGTAAATAGGAAGTTAAAGCCGTTCCATAGTCATAGTTTAATTTATAAACCGTGGCTCCTTCTATGCTAAAACGCCATAAACGCCAGGCATTGTTAATTCTTAGTGGCTAAGACCTGCCTTACCTTTTGGCAGTGTCTGCAGATAAGACGTACTTGTGCTTCTGAAAGAATATTATAGCATATACAGCATCGGACCCGCTATCATTAATTCGTTTGAATAACCTGAATATTTGGGCGAACCATAAAAAAAATGCGGAATTTACTTGTTTAACTGTCTTGTTTTACCATAATAGCTGTGTTTAGGTTCAGCATTCTGAACTTAAAGCTATATCAATAAAAATAAATATTAAAACATAGAATTAAGTTCATAATATCCAAAAACTGTGAAAATTAATACGTCAAATGCTTAGCTTATAGTATAATTAATAGGAATCAAAATTCTTTGTTAAAAGTCTTGTTAATGTAACTTTTAGTTTTGAACCTGGTAACCAAACACAACTAATGGTGATACTAAAAGAGAATAAAATCTCGTTTTCACTGTGTGGCGGTATTATCATTAAGAGTAAGTTACACCTACACCACATTAAACCATTTGACATAATAGACAAGGCGAAACGGCGGCTTCGTATGAAAAAATTAGTGGATTCGATTTTTTTACATAATCACCTCCATGAGATGTCCCTGAATGAGGATCAAAATGATACCGGCCAGTTACCTGGTCACAATTTTTTTAAACAAATTGCAAAAATAACTTGTTTTGCTCCGGAAAAAGTTTTGTATTTTGGGGTATTCCAAACAAAATAGTTCCTATGCATTATGCTCCTAAAATCAACGGTTTCCGAGTTATAAACAATTTAAAGTACGAAAAAATTCAAAAACAGTAATTTTCAAGACTCAAAAACAATAACAAAAAATCAAGTTTTTGATGTTACTAAAATTTAAAAGTAATCTTTAAACATACCTTGACAAAATACGGAGGAGTTATTTGGTGTAATTACATTGCAATGCGTATTATTTCACCTATTAACAATATACATTTTGACTTGCGCGCGGTGCCGCTCGGCCACTCCACTGTGCGCCGATCCCGTCAGCGCCTCACTTTTTCATATATCTCGACATATATTTTAAAGTAAATAAAAAATAAAGAGTAAAATATCTTAAACTTATAAATATATTTATTTAAGTATAAAATTTTCACATTCGTCTGCATTACAACCACAAAGTAACACAAGTAACATTATTTTTTCTACGACTACATGCTTTAGTTTTACATGTTTTCAAACATTTACATCAATCGATCAGGTATTATTTAACATAAATATGGGTAATACTGCACCATTTTCATCTAGTTTGTAACCGAAATTTTCGATATTCAACGTCTGGTATTTAGAGTATATTGAATTTTTCCAAATATACGTTTGCAATTATGCTCTTAATACGTGTAGTTTAAAGACATCAGAAGTACATGGAATATTTCCTAAGTTTATACCCATTCCACACGTTCGAGAAAAAATATTTAACCTAGCGGCGGGGGAATTTCATTGCGATATTCGCAAATTCAAAATTAGATATTATTTAAGTAAAGTAGACATATTATTATTGTTATTATTATTATTATTATTACTGTTTAGAAATTTATAATATCAATAAACAAAAAATAATTTTGACAAATAAAAATTCAGCATTGCTAAAATATATCAAAAAGTGAGGTGATGAATATATACACGGGGTCGGCGTAGAGTGGAGTGCCCAAGCGGCGCGGCGCGTAAGTCAAAATGTATATTATTAATAGGTAAAATAATACGCATTGCAATGTAATTTACACCAAATAACTCCTCTGTACTTTGTCAAGGGATGTTTAAAGATTACTTTTAAACATTAGTAACATCAAAAACTTGATTTTTTTGTTATTGTTTTGAGTTTTGAAAAAGGCCGTTTTTCATTTTTTCGTACTTTAAATTGTATATAACTCAGGAACCGTTGACTATTAGGAGCATAGTGCATAGGAACTATTTTGTTTAGAATACCCCAAAATACCTAAAAAAAAACTTTTTCCGAAGCAAACCAAGTTATTTTTGCAATTTGTTTAAAGAAATTAGTTTAATAAAATTGTGATCAGGTTACCGGCCTGTAACATTTTGATCCTCATTCAGGGACATCTCACGGAGGTGATTATGTTCAATGGCTATCAGTAATTAAAGACACAGTTTTAAAACATGGTCTTGGGGCACTGCACTTACTCTACTTAAATCAAAGAGCTTCTGCAAGGTTCATGTAAGTTAAAGAAACAGTTTGGCACACCAAGGGAATACAGTCTTTTGACTTATGAAGTTTCAGAAACTATGCATTAGCATCCATGAGATTAAACATGTGCTCCGCTTATCTATATAAGTCATGTTCACTAGCAAATTCCTTAAAGTGTACACATCAGCAAATGTATCATCTACAAATTGTTTTCAATTTATTTACTTGCTGATTCAATTCCATTTACCAACAGGGTAGTCCATATGCTGAGAGACTATGAAGCGCATCATGCACGCAACGATGTGGGATTATTCGATCAAGTCGAGGCCGCACAGCGTACCTCGAACCTCCACTATGCTGTAGGAATGGTGATGGAACATCTCACGCTTAATTATAAGTGTGTCATTTATGATTGGGATCCTGTTTGTCTAGCAGCAGCTGAGTGGCAGGCCCAGAATAACGTCGACAAATTGCAACTCAAAGATGATCAACCGTTCTATAATGTTCTGGTCGAGGATGGATCTCATAGATATGTCGCACAAGGTAATAGTTTATTTACTTAAATTGTGATGTTATCTTTTTTTGAAAGATCGTTAAACTGGCAATTACAGTATAGAGAGATATGCATACATAGGGAGAAGTAGACAAGTAGAGACTAAGTGTGCCTTGACATTGTCCTTAGTCTCAATTCTGTAATGTCTTTATACAGAGTTGAGGTTCACACTAAAGGTCAGTACGTATGGCACAAAAAACAAAACAGAATTATAATTTCGTTATTCAAATAGAGAATTTTCTCATCCTGTGTGTCTGATGTAAATTACTTCAATTTCATGCCATGCAAAACCACCATAACACACGAAGGAAAAGAGTAAAATAGAAAAAGTACTCAACACAATAGTGGTTTAACAAAATTCATTCCGGTTACTCCTGATTGTCACCTCCTGTTCCTTTGTAATTTAAAAATTCATTTTTTTTTCAAATTTTTTTCAAAATAGAAAGGACATGTCAAAATACTTAAAAATTGATGACCTCGTTATTATTACGTATTTTTTTTATTGTTAAGAAAATCAAGCTGTGAAACATTCTGTACAAGATCGGCTAATTTCAACAATTTTGGTGGGTTTTTCATTAAAAAAAAAATAGTTAGGATGTCTCTTACTTGATTTTTGAGGAAAATTGGATGACAATAATTGCATCTTAACATCTTGATTTATTTAAAACACAGGATATTTTTGTTTTTGATTGTTTTTTTTTTTTTGTAATGTCAAATAACTTTTTTTTATCGTTTTGTTTTTGTAAAGATGATTCAAGTACATTTTTTTGTGTTTCTATAACTTTTGACTTTTCAGTTATAACCTAAATATGTTTTTTTAAATCCCCTAGACATTTTTCGATTTTTAAAACTGCATATAGGTTCCTTTTAATTGATTGATATTTTGACAAAAGAATTATTTATTTATTCATTATAACTTCTAAAAAAATTTTTCTCCAGACATTGAAAAAATTTAAGTAAACTGATTACATTAAATTTGGAATATGGAAATAAATTTTAATTCCCAACAATTTTTCTTAATGAATTTTTTTATTATTCTATATGAAAATGACATTTTACACACGCAGAAAATAATTTTATTTGTGTCGGGACCTACTTAATTTTTCATAAATAAAAACGTGTTACAGGTTATTTTATACCAATCAGATTTGTTCTCTGAAACGTTAAATTTCTGCTCAAAAATGATTTATTATTGACACCGATGATTAAGACGATCTTAGGACACTCTGTCGATGTCAAATGATGGAAAATATGGGGTGTTGAAAAGAATATTTTGTCTCAGTATGATTTAAATAAAATAATAGATTTTCCTGTTACATCATACATTGCATATTGAAGTTGTCATGTCTTGAAAACAAGTAAATATTGGGAAAAACTTTATACTACAAAATTTAACGATCTTTCAGATGGACCGCATTTTCACGTTTTAGGAATCAAAAAATGTATTAGTATTGCCATGCCATCTATACATAAAAATTTGAACTAACAATTCTAACTGCAATTTGAAGCTATTCGAGGGACCTAACAACCCCAGTTTCCAGAACTAAAATAAATTTCTTCATTTCGAAGATATTGGCAGCGTGAATGTTAAATGGCACACTCTGTATACTAAAAGATAAGGGACATCGTAGGGAAATTAAAAAAATATATTAATAGTTGTTGATTTAGTGAATATTCAAAAGAAAGTATTGAAAAAAGATGAAAAATTGTGTATTAAATTGTTAATAACGATGAAAATTGTTAATCAGCTGAAAAACCCCTACGATGTTCCCTGAGTTATGGTTTTTTGTGAACCTCTACAATATTCCAAGTCAATTCATTAAAAACTTTGTAAGTTATATTTCCATTCGGTGAAAAAATAGTTGTTTTTCGAAAAATGCTTTTGAAATTTTTGTTGCCATTCAATATAAGAAATTCATTATATACCTTCAATCAACGATGCCTGCATGATATAATTGGCCTTCTGTATTGATATTTTCTTCATCCTCTTCTTTTCGGTTTGATCTGAAACTCAAACTGGTCTCTATAATAGCTAATTATTGTGCGCGTTTTCACAAGTTACAATAAGCACTTCTGCAGCACGCTGCGAGTAGTTGCACTCCACCTCGAAGAAACTCGTGTTCCCAATTTTTTTCCCCACCAAAAACTCTCCCTATCCTCGTCACATAATAAAGCATTGTTTAAACCATTTATCTTTTCAAAATTCTAGAGTGGTTTTACCCCTTTAAAACAATGGGTGGTAGGCACAGGCGATGTCTTTCTGCAAAATATAATGCTTGCTGAAATAAAATCAGTATAAATGTTCCCAGATCTTTGTCTATTAGCCTAATTAGAAAGTTAAACCTGTTAGGTAAAATTGAAGTGTGAACCACAACAACATAGACCACAAGATGACAAAGCTAGTTAGCCCCCCTCGGGAACCTAGCCTAATCTAACCTACGTCATTCGAAAGACATGAATGAGATATAATAGAAATATATCGTGGACTACTTAAAACTTAATAAATGAAGATAAAAAATGTTCACAAAATACAGCCAAAGATGAAAAATGCTCTGTATCTTTTAAAGGAATCAACAAGATGCGGTTTTTGCCATCCAGTTTCTCTCAAAACCTGAGTCCTATATCAAAAAATATTTTATTCTTTTCCTACGAATATACTACTCTCCAAATGTATCGAAATTGTCCTAACCCAGCGCACACGCGCATATTTTTATTAGAAAATTTTTAGAGAATTTGAGACCTACGGCCGATACTGGTTCTATCCATTTAAATGACGACGTCGGAAGGCACTTTTCTCACTTTTTCGAAACGCACTATGTTCCGAATGCAGAAAAGGAAAAGGAATATCCTGCAGATAGGAAAATAAGGCATATGTATTATAAGAAGAGTGTACTAGAAAGCTTCAAACCAGAATGATTCCCTTATAACTTAAATGTTTTACTTTTTAAGAGCAATTTATCCTAATATATATATTATTTATTTTATTGTTAGATTGAAATGTTTTTTATTTAATAAAACAAACACAATGTGGTAAAATTTTACTTTTAAAAATGTAAACATATACATTTATTTTTAAAAAATATAAATTACAAAAATAACATTTAGATTATTTCTAACAATTAAGTGCTGACAATAAAATCTGTAAACTTCATAATATTTCAACCCGTTACTTTTCTTTTTTTCTTCTTTTTGGAGTTAAGGCGGAACTTCTTCAGAGTTTGCTTTGGAATTTAGTAAAATTGGACTTGTCTACTATTTCATACCACCAATTTGGACGTGACATGGCACTGGAATTGTGCATCAAAGTTTTCTGAATGTTTTCGTAAAGCTGTAACAAAACAAAATAAATTTGATGACTTCTGTACCTCAACCAAAATTCATTAGGTACTCAATATATACAGGCTGTCCGGTAAGTACCTCCTAATCTCTCGGGAGTGTATAGGGGAGGTCAAAATAAAGCTAGTCCTTCCTATAATTTTTTTTCCTAATGTGCCCCCTAACGGAGTTATGGGGGGTCAAAGGGGTACCTAGAAATTAACGTTTAGGGTTATAACTTTGAAACCACCCTGTATATTTTAATAAAATTTTCGTACGTTGTATTACACATGGAGCTCTACGATTTGATGCTAAAATCAACTTTTTGCTATTATCAGGTGTCCAGAAACGGACTGGCCCTATCACAATTTTTCTCAAAATTTTGACAGAAGTAATTTTATCAAACTGAAAATATTATTATTAGATACTCTGAAGGTTTTTCTTTAAAAATGGTACTCTTTATTTATTTCGAAAAAATGAACGGTTTGCGAGATAAATCGGTTTTGAAAAAAATTGGTAACAAATACAACAACAATTAAAATTTATTTTTTTACAATAAAATCATTCCCGCTAGTGCCAGCCTACAGATTCACCATAAACATTTACTGGTGGTGAATTAAGGGAATGAATAATGCCGTTTCTTGTAAAATCAACATCTATGACCAAAATACATCTACAAATTATTATTGCTCTTGTCTCCATGGAGTTCTTTTCTATTGTTTTCGTTGTTAGACCCTGTTGATTTTAAAGTACTTGTCAAAGGCGCGTGACAGAATAAAAATTCAATTTTATTGTGGTATTCGTTTTAAGCCGTTAGAAATAACATTTAAAAATGGAAGAATATTCCTGTGCAGAATATGCTGATATGCACCTAATTTATGGGGAAGCATTATGCAACTCCGTGGAGGCAAGAAGACTTTATGAGGAAAGGTTTCCGGGTCGACATTTGCCGAGTCCAAAAACTTTTGAAAGAGTTGATCGTAGTTTAAGAGAAACAGGTAAAAAAAAATAGTGAAAAACGTTAGTGAAACTAATTTCTTCCGAATCCTTTATTTAGGAAGCTTTTTGCCACGCCGTGGTGGAGCAGGAGCCCCGAGGAGAGTACGAGACCCTCATGTAGAGGAACAAATATTGGAAGACGTTGCTAATAATCCTTCAAATAGCATAAGGAAGCTTGCGGCGCAAAACAATGTTACAAAATGGGCTGTACATGAAACTCTGAAAGAACAATTGCTTTACCCGTACCACATCCAAAAAGTACATGCTATGTCTCCAGATGATTATCCAAAAAGACTTCAATACGCCAATTGGTTTTTACAGCATCATATTCGGAATCATAATTTTGGTACATCTATTTTGTTCACCGATGAAGCAGGTTTTACAAGAGACGGCATAATTAATTCGCATAATCTACATGTCTGGGATGAAGAAAACCCTCACGCTTTAGTTCAAACTCGCTACCAACAAAGGTTTATGGTGAATGTGTGGGCTGGCATTATCGGGAATCATTTGATTGGTCCATTTATTCTGGAGCAAAGACTTAATGGTGCTCTTTATTTGCAATTTTTAGAGGAAAATCTAAATATTTTGTTAGAAGAAGTGCCCCTTCAAATAAGAACTGAAATGTGGTACATGCATGACGGTGCACCACCCCACTTTGATCGTTTAGTACGTCAACATCTGACGAATGTTTTTGGTGATCGATGGATAGGTCGAGGCGGACCTGTATTATGGCCACCTAGGTCGCCCGACCTAAACCCATTAGACTTTTTTCTGTGGGGTCATTTAAAAAATAACGTTTATTCAACACCCGTAAATAGTAGAGAGGAACTTCTGCTGAGGCTAACACAGAACTGTGACCATCTCCGCAATAATCACGGAATATTATTTCAAGTGCACCGGGAAAACATTCGTAGGATTAGAAAGTGCATTGAAGTACGGGGTGCTCATTTTGAACATCTACCGAAGTAACATTTAGGTACCTTTGTTCATTGTTGAATGTTCTTTGTTGCATGTCTTGTAAGTAAGTTATTTTTCAAATGTTATTTTTAATTGGTCACTACTTGCTCATAAAGTATAGCCAACCCGTTCAAAGATTTCTGGACTTGATAAAGTTAAAGAAATTAAATGCATGAAATAATATGTAAAAAAAATAAATTTTAATTGTTGTTGTATTTGTTACCAATTTTTTTCAAAACCGATTTATCTCGCAAACCGTTCATTTTTTCGAAATAAATAAAGAGTACCATTTTTAAAGAAAAACCTTCAGAGTATCTAATAATAATATTTTCAGTTTGATAAAATTACTTCTGTCAAAATTTTGAGAAAAATTGTGATAGGGCCAGTCCGTTTCTGGACACCTGATAATAGCAAAAAGTTGATTTTAGCATCAAATCGTAGAGCTCCATGTGTAATACAACGTACGAAAATTTTATTAAAATATACAGGGTGGTTTCAAAGTTATAACCCTAAACGTTAATTTCTAGGTACCCCTTTGACCCCCCATAACTCCGTTAGGGGGCACATTAGGAAAAAAAATTATAGGAAGGACTAGTTTTATTTTGACCTCCCCTATACACTTCCGAGAGATTAGGAGGTACTTACCGGACACCCTGTATATTTTTTTTTTCAAAAAGCAATTTTGGATTGGATATATCGACAAAATCGTTCGTGTAATTGGTTATCATCTGAGATTATGTAATAAAAAGTTTTCTCACAATTTTTTAATGTATGAACCAAAAAAAAAAAAAAGCTGCAAGCCAAAAGATAACCCGCATCTAACAGTAAGAACTTTATAACTTAGAAATAAGTGTCAGCCTTCCAACCAACTTTAGTGGCTTACATTTAGGTAATCAGAAATCATGTAGAAGCGAATGAAGTCTTGTTAGATACATTTTGAGGAAACAATTCTAACATGCCAAGTTCGAACTCACCAACTTTTGAAATGCCTCAAAATAGGTGAAATTAATGTAATTTTACAAGAGCAGCTCTAATTGCAAATTAATAAGAGTTAAATCTTAAAGAGCATTCTTCTATGAAAACCAATTGTGCATTTTAATGAAAATACTTGAAGAATATTCCTACATTATTATAATGTTTCGTTTGTTCATAATTTTGGAGATGAGAAAAAGAATAAAAAAACATGGCCCGTTTTGAAAGGAAAAAAAATGTCACATGACAAAACTCGAACCAGCGATCTCGTGAGTGTTGGGACTCGAACGCTACCAACTAGGCCATGCGCCAAGTTGAAAAATGTGTCGCATCTAATGGATTTAAGGCCGATTCTCACTTGCGTGCAAGGCAGCAAAGCAAGCACCGGCTCGGCAAAATATTTTAACCATTGTATCTTATGGGTTTTGAGGTGTGTAATTCACACTATACGTGCAGCGTCTCGGCAGGCGATAGACTTTGCATGTGATGTTCTTCCGAAAGAGTATTTGCAAGGTATGTGCCGTGCATGTTCCAGCAAGTGGAATACTCTCCAGGCAGTCAACTTGCAATCATAGGGTTTTTAGTTGAGTTTCATACTGACAAGAAAACATGAAATGTCAGCAGAGGCCCACGTTTTCGTCAGAACAAGATGAAATTTTATAATTTCGGTATAATTCTATATTGAAAATGTATTGTGTTTGTTTAATACACAGAAATAAATAGAATAGAATAGTTGCATGGTGAACGCCTTCTAAAAAAACATTGCTTTCGTTGAGTGCGAACATCAACTTCGTACCATACAACGTATAACGCATGCAAGTCACGCAGATTGAAATCAGTCTGTATTTTGCTTCTCTTCGTAGCGTTGTTTACGGCGGTTGTCATGGCAACGATGCAGCCAACACAGTAGTAAACTATGGCGTGGGGGAACGAGTAACACGATTGATTATAACTACTGTTCTTAGTTAATATTTGTTTTGTATAATAATTGTAGAAATGTTTCCTATGTATGAGCCAGTATGTATTTTATTGGAAACGTCATTTTCCAGTTGGAAAATTGAGGACAAAAAGGATTTTTTAAATTGCTACAGACCTGTGCCTTATTGTCTCGATATGGAAAAAAGGGGAAGTCAAAAGACAACGTGTACGTTCGAAAGTTTCGGAATTATTGGTATTCGGAGTATAAGTGGTTGTGTCGAAGTGTTCATTTAAAATAACTTTTCACGCAAGGCTATCATAACCACAAAGCATCTTTGGAACATACATGTACGGTGTGCGTTAATGTTCGCAGAAGTCCACAAGCCGAACTAATATTTCTATTTTTTATAAAACCTAAATGAAAATCTTTCTCACGAACGTGTTTTTCGGTAATATTGCAAATGCATCTAAAAATTTCCAAATTCATTTAAAGCCGTTTGACCTTGAACATTTGAAAATTTTTGCCTGCGGCACTTTTTTTTGTCTTTTAATCAATGAATATGCTTCATCTATTTTCAATGTCACAAGCCGCCACTGGGTTACATTGGATACATGCATTTACGTATGAGCCGTTACACTGAAGTATTAAAAAGGACCCCGCACAAATCTTATGGAAATTGGGTCCCGGTCAAATTCGCTGAATTTTTGATATGTGATAGAGTTCATCATACTGGTCAATTGTCTCAATGGCCACAAAGCTCAAAAATGGATAGTTTGGCCGGTACAGAGCTTTAAAGCTCCGAATATCCTCCACGGATTTATGTATATGCGCAGTGTGTATAGACTTTTGAAATAGCCTATTTCATTTTTTTTATTATCTAGGTTTATATTTTTGAGGTTGCTGAATTCAGATCTGTTGTTAGATTTTCAAAATTGACAGTTGGCAGCTGTCAAATAGCTGTCAATGTGCTATAATAAAGCCAAAAACTTGTTTTTTTATGTTTTATCTTTCTTTTTTTTTAGTTCGATAAGTTCAAAGACGATATCAAATCAATAACAATGACTATCGGCAGCTGTCATTTAGCTGTCAACAATTCTTCAAAGTCCGGTAATAAAGTCAAAAAATTATTTTTTGTTTATAACTTCAAGTTTTTTAGATAAGTGAATATAAATATGATATAAAATTATGTAGTCATCAGCTTACAGCTGTCAACAAGCTGTCAACTAACTGTCAAAATGCAATAATAAAGTCAAAAAGTTACTTTTTTTAAAAAGCTTTAAGTTGCTTAGATCACTGAGTTCAAAAGTGATGTCATAAACTTATATCATGTTTGATTTCTTATCCACAAAGTTAAGCACAAAAAATAAGTTACTTGCTCTATTATTGCATTTTGACAGTTAGTTGACAGCTTGTTGACAGCTGTAAGCTGATGACTACATAATTTTATATCATATTTATATTCACTTATCTAAAAAACTTGAAGTTATAAACAAAAAATAATTTTTTGACTTTATTACCGGACTTTGAAGAATTGTTGACAGCTAAATGACAGCTGCCGATAGTCATTGTTATTGATTTGATATCGTCTTTGAACTTATCGAACTAAAAAAAAAAAAAAATAAAACATAAAAAAACAAGTTTCTGGCTTTATTATAGCACATTGACAGCTATTTGACAGCTGCCAACTGTCAATTTTGAAAATCTAACAACAGATCTGAATTCAGCAACCTCAAAAATATAAACCTAGATAATAAAAAAAATGAAATAGGCTATTTCAAAAGTCTATACACACTGCGCATATACATAAATCCGTGGAGGATATTCGGAGCTTTAAAGCTCTGTACCGGCCAAACTATCCATTTTTGAGCTTTGTGGCCATTGAGACAATTGACCAGTATGATGAACTCTATCACATATCAAAAATTCAGCGAATTTGACCGGGACCCAATTTCCATAAGATTTGTGCGGAATCCTTTGAATTGATCTTACTTTATTTAAGCTTTAATAATGAAGCTCTGCATATCAACACTCAATATAGCTGCCACCTTAGATGTCTACTGTGAACAGTTTGTAGTTTACTGGTTTGCTGAAACCTGCTATAAGTAAACTCATTAGTAGTTCTTAAATATCAAAACGGAGACTAGAGATGTTATAAGGAATAGGAATTTGCTAGAACAGTTACAAACTGTTCCAATTCAAGACCTGTAGCTGTTCCAAATACCCTTTCTGTTTCTATTCTATAGTTCGATTGCGAATGACAAGTATTGTATGGACATGGTTCGTTTTGACATTGTACTAGTTGATGAGCCCATAGTAATTCTTAGTTTCATATAATAAAGAAATCATTAATCTGTGATTCCTGTTTCTAGTCCACCAAGTATTCAGCACAAGAAACAAACGTGATAATGGCAAATAATTATAATCCCACATAATTACAGTCAATCTCGAATTACTGGATATGCTACTGATATACGATAAATGTAGACAAAATGCTATGGCTGCAGACTGATGTTTGTGAATCATTTTTCACCATGGTGCAACCAGAATTGTCATAATCATTCTAAAAGCATTTCCTCTCGACTCAGTTTCAATATCTTTGCTGCACTTTTTTGTTAAACTGGGTGAATATTTATGGTTTTTTTACATTATGTAGTGTAATATAAGCAAGTGGCATGTCCAGATCTTTTAAAAGGAAGCTGTTCAAAAAACAATTCAAATAATATAATTTCCAAGTTTATAAATATCCTGCATATTGATCTGTAGTTGATATGGAGGTGGGACTTACCTTTCCATCAGACCTTCCTAGTACTGAATTAATAACATAATCCGGTGGGGCTAAGCCATCAATTACTGCTAAACTGTCAGACTTCAAATTCTTGCATAATGCTAAAATACCATCTTTTACATTCTGCGACAGTTCCGGACCTGAAGCAAAACCTCCCTGATAGAAATATACTAAATGTTTGTCTAAGCACGAGAGTCCATAGAGGTAGCCGACATTGTTCAACATCGCTTGCAAACTAGGATCCGCGGCAGATACTTGAGACCAATAGTATCGAAGTGCTGTGTATTCACTATAAGCACGAGACAGTAATGCTGCACGATAGACTTGAGACTCATTCCTGGCAGTGAATTTATCTGCTCCAGCACTGACTACTTCATTTTGCCGTTTATCTGTTTCTTGGACCAGGTAGAGTATTAGCCACTGATAACAGTCCATTATAACTATAAAACACAATAAAAGGGTTAGGCACCTTTAACATTAAGTATCTAAAACAAGGGATGAAAACTTTGCTTAACAGTCAAAAACCCGTTCTTTTATGTTTCTTCTTAAGAACATAATGAACTGAATAATTTAAAGAAATAACATATTAAAAAAAGTTTCAGGAACAAGGTTAAGACCAAACTATTCTCATTTATAACGAAGGAGGTAACGTTTTTCTGTATGAAATTACGGTTAGTTAAACTAATTTATGTTTTATAATATTTGCTTTAGCTGTTTTATAAAATGTACTTAATAAAAATAAATAAATTTAAAATATTTTTAAAATAATTTAGAGTGTTTAATATAAAGTTTGTTGCAATTTTTTAAAGCAGTGTATAGTTTGTGAACATCAGCACCAAAGACCTCTGATATTGATGTAGTAGGTGAACTACATAATATCAATCGACTCGATTTGACACGACAACAGAGCGCAAGATGAGCAAGAAACAAACGGCAAAACAAGAATGTAACTTTTGTTTTATTACATTTATTTTAGTATTCAGTTCACCATTTATGGGTAATTTCCAGTCTCTGCATGAAGTGTTACTTTTTACTGTAATCGAAATAGAATTTGTGGAGTGCAGTGTCATGTTTTACCTATTAAGTTCATAAAATTTAATTTTGTACTTATGGAAGTGTTTTGTGTAGATACCATTATAATGTTATTTATTTCAGTGTTTAGTAATGGAAAAGTGTGTTTTATCTGTCTTCATTATTTCTGTGTGATATTATAAAAAAATATGTATATGAATCAAGAGAGATTTGACAACAATGCATACCATAGCTGTCAAATGGGTATGCAGCTACATGGCATAGTTGTTTGAGGTCACACTAGTCTGTACAGTGGAAGGGAATGAAGATTACAAAAAAAAAAAAGATAAAAAAATACAGTTTTCAAGACAAAATTTGAGAAAAAACAAACTTATGATATCTATGTATTTCTGCAGCTAAAGGTAGCTTCCGTATAAATATGAACCCCATTCAAAGTTACACCCTGTAGATAAGTACATACATTAAATGAGTTATATCAATGTATTGATAAAGCAACTACTTCGATTATACTAAATCTTATTAATTGTTCCAATAAAAAATAAATATTTGTAAATATGGTAAAACAAATTTAAAAAAGAGTATAAATATTTTCAATCACACTCTAGATTTTTGTTTATGGATTGAGGGTATGAAGATATTTGGAGACATTTCTTTTTACAAATAAAACATTTTCATAAACAGAAAAAAAATTGTTGGATGCCACAAAAATACATCAAAATAATTTTTGTTTGGTAATAGTAAGATTTAATATGGTCATTTGGGAGATAGGATTTTTCTTGCGACATTTGTAAATTATAAATGGAAAACTGCCTTGACATCATGTGTTTTTTAAATAATTTTATTTTAATATAACTAATGACATGCTACGTTGATTGAAATATTTCAGTCAATATTAGTCATTATTAGCTAATATTATAGTAAAGATTTTTGGAAAGATTTTTCATAATAATTATTTTGTTAATAAGCAAACAGGTATTTGAGAAGTTATATTTATGTTATAAGTAGGCATGCCTTTTCCTCATCCTGATTTATTAACAATATAAGACCTGTATTTTTCCCTTAGCAAATAGATTTATTCTTGATTAAAGAACAGTGTTCTTTTTATTCTCCCATTTCTCTCAACATTCTTAGCAAGAACATCTTTCTTTTTCTGTTCTCAAATTTGGTTGTTTAGTGAAAAATTATGAATGTCCTTGTAAATTTTTTTTTCCTTGTAAATTTCCTGACAGTGAGAATGTTCTTTATACTCATATTTTTTGCTCATCATTTTTCTGTGAACAGACAGTTCCTGTTTCAAAAAAATATATATCTATTATAACGAGCTAAAATTTTTTTATCTTTCAAAACTCATGATATAAGTAAGAACACATTTAAATTGATCAATACTTAATTTTTTCTTTTAAAAAATATAGGTACTTACATTGTTGACTCTGAACCTCCTTTCTACTCCTAACATCATATTTCTTAACTCCAATAAGAGCGTAATCTATCAAAAAGGTGCAACTACCCAGTGGTGAAGAAAGTTTACCGCCTGCATTGATTGCTTGCCATTGTCTTAATATCCAGTTACTTGTTTGTTGGACTAGAACATTGTTATCACCTTCATAAGTTACACAAGGGTCGATTATGTTTCTGAGTTCCCCCAATCTGGCCGATTTGAGAAATCCGTGACCACCACAGGCTTCCCTGCATTCCTGTGTGGCATCCCTACAAGTCCACGTCATAAGGGGCTTAGCACTAGACACTAAAGCATGAATCTCTGATACCATATCGCTCTAAAAATGATGGTTTATAGAAAGCGTTAGCATATGAATGAATTTGCTTACCAAATCTTCTATCTCTGTTGATGTTGATGCTGATTTATCAACGACAGTTAGATATGTTTCTGTGAAACCGTTAACGAATGCTCGTAAGACGACTGCAGCAGCCATGTAAGGAAATAATCTCCATTGCTGGAAAAAAATAAAAAAAAATTTCATTTGTTAAAATATAAAACTTATTAGCTTTGAATTTAATGTGGTATTTCTTTTAATTTCAGTTTGATTAGAATTTCCATAAAACACCTAATTGTATCTGGACCTACTAAAAATATTCGCGATGCCAATTTTTCTGTTACAGTTGGAAGGGGAATTCAAAAATATAAAATCTCTAACAATAAGCTAAAATTTTCAATAGTTTTCGTACCTAGTAAATTAACAAATAAAAGATGTAACTGGCAGCTACATCTAGTAGCCAATGCTGAGACCTTCAGAGGGTCCAAAAATTGGCAGAAAGCGACCTGTATTGCAAGTTTTAAGTGATGATATTGCCAGAAACATCTAGTTGATGGGCTATATGTCCCAGCTAGCTCTATTAAATGAAATGTTTATCCTGGATCTGAAATAAGCAATTTATAAACTGTGAGAAAAAATTTTGAAAAAAGATCACATATCTCCATCTATAACTTTAAAAAGTTTTATTAAAAATACATTTTAGAAATTCGTTTGAAAGGATCAAGTTAATCAAAGAATTTTTTTATTTTTCTTAGTTTTATACCCTTGAACATTTATTTCTAAGATAAAATTCTCAAAATATCTTAAACGTCTTAAACATCATCAAAAAGATCCAAATATAAGTTTCTGAGCGCACTGGAAATGCTGGTGTATTTTTATGGTCTATAGCAGGGGTCGGCAAGTAATTTTAGGTGGGGTCCGGATACTATTGAAAATTTTTAACAAAGTCCACAAAAAAAACACATTCCTTAGTAACTTTTTATTTTAATTTGCACTCACAAATTTAATCTACCTACTAACCATTATGAACTCAAATCAATCACGCAATTTTAGTAGAAATGATAAGGGTGGCACTCAAACGTATTATTATCAATAGAAAAAAACAAAATTCAAAAAACTTTTTGGAGTCCATTATTTTACCTTCCGCGGTCCGGATCTGGACCGCGGTCCGCCAGTTGCCGACCCTTGGTCTATGGTCTGGCAGGAATCAGAAATCGAAATAGAACTCTTAGTTTAGGTTGTACGATTAAATAATTACTTTCTCTCAAAATGAAAATTGGGTCATTCAGTCATCTTAGTGCATTATGAACCAGACTAACGGAACTGTTATTTTTCTGATACAAGCTATGATGGAACAGTCATAAAAATGCCATGTTTATGAAACAATTTTGTTGGGCTGGAGTTGCCAAATGTAGACTCATTAAAAATAAAAACATTAGCCTGAAACTGATTTGAGCAAAAAAATGTGAATAACTTCAGCTTAGTTAATATTTTCAAAACTGTCTTCCTTCACGTGTATCAAAATATTCAACAAATATTTTAAAGAATTATTTTCCACATTCACTGATTTTTTCAAATGGAGATGGACTAAAACAATTTTAAAATATGTTATGGCACTAAAATGAGAATTGTAGCAAAAATAGAAATGGAGTATATTAATAATCATTAATCAGCCAACAAATTATAGACGAAACTAAAGATAGGAAAAATAATAAAATAGGGTATATTAGTGTGTATTCTAACACCAAATAAAGCAAAATATGTTATATTTTCCACTGATAAATGTTCCTATTTCAAGATTTTGCAGAAGGCATTTTAATGATACATATACAAAATGAGGGGCTAATGAGTTTTTTAAATATAAGTATTTAACACAATTATATTACTCCTAAATTTCTTAGTAATACCACTAACTTTACCTATAAAACTCAAACTTTAATTTATCTAGTAAATGGATAACAAAGAATTCAATCAAATTGTCTGCAACAGATTGAATGGAACTTGAACCATGGAAAAATATTTTGGGATTTCCTTCTCTTCAAATTTTAGCTGAATTAGAAAAATGGAATTAACCATTTTTTTTTTCAAAATTGTCCTGATAATATTTTTTCTGATAAAAACTAAAATCTGTAAAAGTTTATTATAAAAATTCGCAAAATGTGAAAAGATGAAAACCTCTAAATGTATATTTTTGGAACCATTGAAAAGTCAGTTTTTCTCATACATTCTATAATTTCGTAGGGTATATGACTAAATAATTACTCTTACTCTCTGTATGAATCAAATGTAATAAATGTGCCATAAGAAAAAAGTTTTGAAAAAGAATTATTTCCTTGGTGGTAGGTACCTACTTCAATTCCTTTAAAGTATACAGGGTGTGGCATGTATAATCTATAAAAATTAAACTACAGCTTCCTGGTGATATTTGTAATAGAAAAGTCGTCTTATACGAAAAAGTTCTATCTTCGTGTTTTTTTCATTTATTCAACGAAAATGAAGGCCGACCCTGTGTTATTTATTAAAAACTAGAAATGTTTTTATGCGACCCAGAGAAAATATTTTGATGCGTAATTGTACCTACTTTAATTTACGAAAAAAAAGTAAAAATAGAACTTTTTCATATAAGACTTTTCTCTTGCAAACATCATTAAGAGGCCGTAGTTTAATTTTTATAGATTATACAGGCCACACCCTGTACAATAGTGCTGGTAATAAATGGGCAAAGAATAGCACAAATCCGTAAAATAAACAGAAAATTATAAATTTATATTAATAATACATATAAGTATTTTACACTCAGTCCACGAATTCAATCATGTATGATTTTGACACGGCAAGTACCTATCTGATTAATAAGTTGTATATATACTGCACCTGAACCAAGTTGAGCATGCAGTCAATATAGTTTCAAAGGAGCTAAATAGTCTTTCTTTGTTCTATTAAGTTTGATCCCCAACTACGATCTAACATTACATTTAATCAACTAAAAAGGATTTAAAAGCACTGTTTTCTAGATGTTTTAGTAGAATGATGAAATTTAGGTTAAAGGAATAATTAATAAAGGGCAAAGTTAAAGTTTATGACATTGGCTTAGAAAGCACCCTGTGTTTCAAAACTGTTATATCTTATTTTCAAACTTGATGGACCTGTGGATTTTCATATTTCTCAGCAGTCATGCTTAGGGTTACCAGATCTATTTCATGACAAACCCGGAAATATGACCCGTTTGTGTAATTGACGTCAAAAAAAAAAGGTTCTGCGATTGCAATTGGACAAATCGATGTCAAAAAAAAAAAGGACAATCAGGAAGTAATACTTTGTGACCTGGGAAAATGGATTTTGATGAAAAAAAAAACAGAAAATATCGAGAAAATTACGATTTTCCCGCAACTGACAAAACCCGGAGAAATTATATGTTAACCCGGAGCCCGAAGATGTACCATCAAAACTCGAAGACTCCGGGTCAAACCCGGAGATCTGGCAAGCCTAGTCATGCTACAAGTGACACTGGCTAGAGCATTTTAGAGTAACCCAACAATAAATACATTACGATATGTACTGCTTTTTACGGAATTATTCTGTTTTTCATCAGAATTCAATCTTTAATAATATTCATACATGTAATATAAAAAGGTTATTTATCCTCACTTATGAGTACCTACATCTAAAACATTTTGTTCCATAACACGTTTAAAAATAATAGCTCTAATATTATACAAAATGATATGTATGCAAAGTGTGTGTAAAATACATTCAGAAATTGTTATTATAAATACATTTATATTTTTTATTATGTTACTACAAACCAGACAGTAGATACATATTTTTTTAGGCATTCTAGGTCAATAAGCTATTCAACTTTAAACTCTGTGTCATTGGTCCAACATACAATTTTTTTTAAATTTAATATCCAATAAACAAGGTGAAATTAAATACCTATGTCAAAATGTGGCATTATCGCAACTGTTTAATTTTTTTGTCTAACCTGGGGTCATCAGCAGTGTACATTATATAAAATTAACACAATTATGATTCATGATTTAATTGTGAATTACAGTTTAAATGACTTGGAAAAAATATGAAATATACATACATGTAACTGATATTCAATTATTGGCAATTCATTGTTATTGTTATTTCCTTCTCCATTTGGGGCAAATTGTTTCCGTACTGCTGCGTATCTTACTGCGATAGTTACTGCACATATGAGATTATTTGAACTCTCCTGCATAATTCCCACCCTTCCCATGGACAAGTTCTCTAAGGCTGCTCCTAATATCCTACCAGGGTCAGTAAAACTACTTTCGTATTCTCCATCTGGAGTTACATCAGCAGTTCTATTTAAAAGGTTTTCCCTTGGTATTCTATAGTTCTCAAACATTATAAACCTGAAAATAATAAAATTGTATCAATTGTACTGGAATTATGTATAATAAATTTTTAAGAAGTTTTTATACCCATTATCTATTCCATGTAAACCTATTTTCTCCCCCATGTCTCCCACAATAATTCCTGGGTAGGCTATTAAAGTCTTTGGATCTCTTATGGGTACGACAAAAGCATGTAAGCCATGGCATTGTCCTTTGGTATAGAGTTGTGCAAATAATAAAGCGATGGTACATTGTTTACCTGCAAATATTTTATTTAGATTTCATTTCACAGTTTAGTAATTCAAATAGGTACCTAAATTTCCTACCCAACATTTCGCTGCTTCAAAATCTGGAGTATTTATAATGAAACTTTGGCTTTGTGGATCATACGTGGCTGTGGTCCTCATTTGTTTTGTGTTACTTCCGTGTGCGATTTCAGTTAAAGCTAAACAAGACAGTGACTGAAAAATATATCATAATGAGTTTCTAAGGTTATCTGAAGAAAACATGGTTTTTCATTTAAATGTACGAGTATTTCTATTCAAATAAACGGAAAATATTTACTTACATTATTACCTGCGTAAGCGTATTGCCGATGCCGTTCAGTTCCCAAAGTTATTATTGTATTGCTAAATAAACCGACTCCTATAGCATACTTAATTGAAACATCGGGAAAAGTAACTGCCAGTGCTTCATTACAAGCCATCATCATTCTGGTCTATAAAACGGTATTTGATTATTTCAAAAATGTTAACTTCAGGATCAGGGGAGAAAAACGTATAATAGTTTATTATATTTTACTAAAAAACTATTTAGTTATTGGTATTTGTACTCACTCTTTTTTTAAACGGCAATTTCAGAATATCACATATGGGAAATTTGTAGTCGACATATCGCCTTAATCGTAAGGCTGTTATCCTCTTATTTTCTTCTGTTGTCAACTCAGTTTCTTGTCTTTGAAATAGAGGGTCATTTTCGAGACATTTCCAAACCGTCATCTGGAAAAATAAATCACCTTTCTATTTAGAAAATAAACCTATTATTGTAGGTATTAAGTTTTAGAACTTGGATAAGGATAATTTATTTTTGAAAATTTTTATATTTAGATAATATCAGCGTAAGATTATTCTTATGTCTTCTTAAAAGCTCACGTCTGTGGCCTATATTCTAAAAACAAAAAAATATATCATTCGTCCCTTCAGTTCATGTACGAGCTTTATTGAAACGAATTTATTTTTACATTAATTAATCGTGGAAAAAAACTTCAAATATCCTTATGTTTTACTATTCAGTCACAAAATTAATGATAAAACTATTTATTACTTAATCTGGATTTAATTTACTCAATTGACAATCATAATAAAGATCTAATTTCGTAATAATACTTTCGTTGACAGAAAAATTAAAGGAAAAAGTAAAAATATGGAATAGCTACATACATTTTCAGTATTTTTATTTAAAGATGTTAAGGAAGTAAGAAGTTAAATCTGATAGTTTAAAAAATATCTTTCAATTTTTTTTTAATGGTATACTGATGAGAATTACTAAGTTTATGTAGTCTATTCATTCTACTAACGAATGATCTTGACTACTAACTAGATATTGCAAGTATAATTCAATGCAATCTACAGTGTTTTCTAAATCCGTGTCACAACTTCACAAATGGATCATTTTAGACCAAAAAGTGCTAATGTTATAGTTTTAAAAAATTTGAATATTTCTGAAAATGTTTGATATTCATTTTAAATTTCAAGATCCATTGGTTCATTAAGACTTTTGAGTCTAAAATGAACCAAGGAAAAACCTCCTGGAGTTTGAAGACACTCTTCGAAAACACTGTATATGGTAGAGCATATCACAAAAAATGTTCGTAACTTCTTTGTATAAAACACACTTAGCTTATAAACCATACAAATTCGTTTTTTATCAAGTTAGGTCACTTAAATATGTATCTATTTACATTTGAAGGTGTGCAAATCACTACCATAGTATTTATAAGTAAAAAAGTATCTACTAATAATAATAGATATGACCATTCTTTAAATTCCCTTGTTAAATGAATTCTAATAAAAAGAGGACAATTTATTAAATAAACTGTGATTTTAAGAAATTATTCAATCAGCAACATTGTGTTTTTATAATAAAAAATTTATTCTCACTTTTAATTTTAGTAGGTCTGGATCCTCGAAAAAAAATTTTAATTTTTTCCAGTCAAACTTGGCCTGTTTCCTGTATTCATCTAAAGAACTTGGCTCAAAATCTCTCAGTACTAACTGGTTGCCCTCCAGCTCCATTGTTAAATAATTTCTGAAAAATAATTTTATTAATAAAATTTGACTATAAAAGGAACAGTCGCACATAAAAAAAGAAATTAGAAAACATTACTATATTTTTTTAAGTAAATATTTAAAAAAATTTCATTCGCTTCACCCAAAATTCAACTTCCATTCGCAGTTATGAGATGAAAACAAATTGTACAATGGCGTACCCGAGGGGGTGGCGTGACGAACGGTATAAGACCATAATTTCAGAAATTGTTTTATTAATAATAAGAAATTCCTATTATTCCTATTTGGCCTAAGATTTTAGGTATACAAAAACTATATTTAACTGTAATTAGAAAGTGTAAGTTTTCTCCATTACATTTTCAAAACTGATGTTATGAAAAAAATTGAATTATGTATAAAGTAAAAATCAAATTTTATACAATTTATCGAGCAATTTATGGAATAGGAATTACATTAATGTTCGTTATCAACGAAATACTTAAGAGATTTATTTAAAAATGAGAATGCAAAAAACTTTTAACAACGATCTACTTGCTAAACTTTGCTTATTTATTTAAAAAGTAATTATTATATGATGCCATTTCTAGATAAACGTTAAAACAAATTTTGCAATATAAATTTTTTAATTCTTACTAGATACAACCTCCTCAAGACCTTGTAAATAAACAGCAAATATGAACAAAATTCTTTCCTTATCACTCTATTTAAATCCTTTATCTGTATAGCGTCATTTTTATGGTTTTAACTAGTATAATAAAGTATATTAATAATTATTTAAAAAAGAGATTTTGTATAAATTGCATTTAACGTAACTACGATTACCAGGCGTTTAATATTTTTTAAGTGGTGTAAGTAAAGATATGAGAGCGGAAAGAGGTTTCAAAATTATTTTCAAAAGTTGTCCTTGAGAAAATGTTGAGCTTTCCGCACATTTTCGTATCTCCTTTCGTTTTACTTTTTACTACATCACATTTTATCTAATTACTTCAAGAAAGGCTGATTAAAGCAAAAACTATTTTTATACAAGGTGTAACAGCAATGTTGCAACAAACTTTCAGGGTAGAATCCTCTCATTACAACAAACAGAAAAACGAGTAACGATTTTTCCTAAAACTGTTCCTAATGGCACTACGACCTTTCAAAAGCATGAACTACAATCTGACCAATTATTCCTTTGAACCTTCATAAAAGATTACAAGTCACGTAACCAGTAATTTTATTTCTTTCACGTTGGCAATTTAATTAAATTTCGGTAAAACTAAAAATGATTAAAACATTAAAACAAAATTACATTAAAACTCAACATTCTCTTTCGCCGGCCAGTGATAGGTGTAATTTTGCACAAGATTCTATTCAACCAATCAGTGATCGCATTGTCATCGTTCGTTGTTAACGAATCATTAATGCGGTGATGTTAAGATTTAGGGACTTTTAGTTGACAGTATCTGACATACAATATTGGTTGCTTAAGGTCGTGTACTTTTTTATGAAGGCATCAAATATGGTATAGCCTTTCCGATCTCAATTGAAGAACCAAGAGGTTGGCAGTATGTACTAGGTTCGGCATTGAAATATTTGAAAAACTCGTTGCCATCTTTATTTAGCCATACCCATATCACAGAAGATAAAACAATTGTTTTATCTTCTGTGCCCATATACAGGTCTGGTCGAACTAAACGTGGAAGTGGTAGAAATGTATACGCCCAGTTGAAGAATGGGCGCGCGGACAAACGACGAATAACACAGCCGGACTGGGCGACTGGACAATAAATCTCAGCTGTTGACAAGTGGTTAACAAATTGCCTAGCAGTGTAGTGCAGCAATACGGAATTTGGTGTGATTCTGGTAATTTTAATTTTTTATAGTTACCTTCTATTAATCATTGATATTATAATTGCGAAAGGGAGAAATAATATTAGTACAACATGACATTTTACAGACCTTTTGAAACGGAACAAAACGAAATTTACCATCAATATAATAAAAACATAATTAAAATGGCCAAATGAACATATACCTACCTAATAGAAATTTTCTACACGTTATATACAACTTATTATAATTTTTTACCTTTAGCAGAAATCTTTTTTAGGGACGCCTATGAAAGTCATTAAATTTTATTGTCAGGCGTTCATACTGTCCAGTGTCTTCACAGTTGAAGTTGAAATAGTTGTGCCCATCTACGCCACTGGCAACATGTATTAAACGTTTTATTACTTTTCCGACAGTATCAGTTTTTGTTTTATACGTGTATATTTATATTTTACAAAAACTTAAAATTAAAATTAATTTCACACTATCTTGCAAATAATTGTATAGGTATGATCATTTTATAGAGTAAATTTAAGTTTAATTTACCCACAAAATTAAATTGTCACAGAAATATATATGGGAAATGATTATTTACGATTAAATCTCGCATGCTATGACAGAACCTCTTCAATCCTGATTGTTATATGAAAGGAAATATGATGTACTCGACTTCCGGCAGTCCACTTTTATTAAGCATACCTACTTACTTAATTTTACTACAAATTAATAAATTAATACTGTATATGTATGTATGTTATATGGGAACTTCCCTTATGAAACTAGAGGAAATTACATTTATCGTGCACAAAATTTTTATATGTACATTTCACTGGCATTAAATTGTGTCTCTAGTATGATCGATAGATACCTAGTGTTTTAGTTGTTTTTTTTTAGGATGTAAAAAATAAATTCCGTAATATTGAAACAAATAGTTAAATGGAATTCATGTTTTGCCTAGCAGTTAATACAGAATTATCATTTTTTAAACAATTCACTTGAGATTTCCTTTTAAACGAAATTTCAATTTTATTAGACGAAAGCCAATGTTAGTTATGATTATGAAACATGTCTGTGAAATAAGCTAGTAAATGAAAATATTTCATTAAGAAGTACTATATTTCATATATCTTTTCGTAACAATCGTAACTAAAGTGGTATTTAACTGTTGGCCTGTAAAATCCAAATAATAAAAAATATTTGCAAAATGTACTGGCAAGTTTGATTCTAAATAACGGTAAAATATGAAATTGGTAACATTCAGTTAATAATTTGAATTAACTTTGTAATTTAATTTCGTCCTCGAACGAATTGATAGGATTTTCTTTAAACTATAGGTATAATATAATTTCAAATATTAAACGAAAGGTTCAAGAAGATTTCCACGTTAATATAATTTCTATATACCTATCTAATATCTACTTATCTAATAAGCACATAAGTACATATTCCTAGAAATCTGAATCACTTAATTAAGTATACAGGGTGATTAGACTTTCGTCAATTTTAATTAATGTAATATAAATGAAGTGCTGCCAGTAACAGAGACAAACGAATTAAGTCATAATTATGTAGTAGAAAAATATCAAATTTCAGGAAAGTTAAGCATACGGTTTGTAATACACCTACTCCTACTTCCCATCCCCATTACGATTTTCCAGACTACAAATCCACGACGTGAAAAATTTCATTGCTAAGTTTATAAATCGAATTACGTATTTAAATTGGAAAATCCGATGTGCAAGCTTTCTGGAACTGTAACTTATCCCCAACACCCCACCTTATTTACATATAACATAGAGATACGGCAAAAAATTCTAGTAAGTCTAATCTTTATGATCCAATCTGTTAATTCGAATGACTAGACAGTGAGTAGTTAAATATTAATTTATGTCAACTAGTTTATTCTATACAGACAACTTGGAATTTATGGACCCATTCAGTTAGACCCATGAATGATATGAACAATTTTAAATTTGTGCAAGTTTGATTCCAAATTTTTATCACCCAGATACTTTGGACCACTTCCTCAATGAAAGATATCTACTAGACAACTTTTGCATGTGGTGAGCGTGTTAAAAATCCGGTCACACTGTGTTAGGAATATAAAAATCTAATATTAGCACCACATGATCCGTACCCTATATATTAAGTAGCATATAAATCACCGGTTTAATGTGTGCGGCATGAAATTAGGCAATCACTAGAAATACGTCGAATCCCGTAACGTATAGCCGATCCACCCATGCAAAAATCCAGTTGTACTCACCGGTATTCCTCTTGCGAAAATCATGCACGGGGTATTTGGTCTACAGTCGCCGCCCCTCACTTGTTGCACTGTTAAAATAACACATCGACCCGTTAGTTACAGTGCCGGTACCGGTATGCGTTGGTGTGTCACTCACTAGGAGGCCGAGGTTTACTATGACTCCGCTTTCCGACTAACCTAACGGAACGGAACACGCCGATATGGGACTCACGGATGTTGCCTGGTCGGCTTAAAAGAGCTTATTTAACGACTGTACCAGGACTGGCTCCACGCGATTTGCACTGGCGCCCCTTTGAAGCTTCCCTTCAATATATTTTATGAGTAACAATTCATAGATCTGTTTTAGATCAAACGAAATGACCATAATTATTTATACACAGGGTGTATATAAATGGAGAAGCGCAAATGCTACCGGACATGGGCGCCGTTAATCCAGAATCCAAGGGGGCAAATTTAAAACATCAGAATAATAATCTCCTTTATTACTTCAGATTTATTTATCATGGCTATTTTTGAGTGTTGGTCTTTGTCTAACGTTAGAAGAACACAAGACATATTACGTGATTTAAGGTAAGGTAGGTAAATACGTGTTTTATTTTAACAATATTTAGATATATAATTTTTTTTTTATATGATTAATATATTAATTACGAGCTTTTTACTATATACTGTGATATAATTCAATGCTAATCTTGGTATGTAACCTATAGAATAGTTGTTTTCCGCAATATGATCAATTAAAAATCTTGAGGTTATTTGAATAAGCTTAGTAGGTAGTCTTTAATATCTCGAAGATGAAACAACTTTGGACTTGGCCTAAGAAATACTTGAATCAATATATTCGTGGTAGCATGTGCGCTTTTGCATTTAAAAAACTTGAAATTTAACCAGAGTTTCTTGTTAGTGTTAAAGTATCAAATGCCAAACTTAATAAAAATTCGATGCTTTACTAAAACAAGAGAACACCTTATGGTGAATAGATACATTTCTTTCATTAAAGTTAAGTAGATTACTAATTAATTAACTTGAGTTAATTAACAGTACATAGTAAAGTAGATATTTTGGCATGACATAATCATAGTTAATGATACAAAGTATATAATGTACGATATTCCCGTGAACCAAAATCGATTCGCTTGGCGCATGACGTCAGTTGGAGAGTGAATTGGCGAATTAACGAAACCGAACGTCACAGACATGGAGACTACACAGTCACAGGAACAATAAGCGGATCACGAGCACACGCCACAAATTGGCGTGTACTACATCTCCAACTGATGTCATAACATAGCTGCGGTTATGAGCAATACAATATCTTCTAGTCTTTGTATCATGATAATACACAACCATTTTGTGTCCAACATTACGACAGGAAGGTAGTTTTGTTCGTCTTTCATACAAATTATTAATGACCTTAGTAATGAATAAGATGATTATAAATTTTTAATATTTAGGTACACTGAACCTAAAATAAAAAAAAACATAAGTACTATAAACATTAGATAATGTCCAACTCAAAAATCAAAATAAAATATACAAAGAAAGGGTTAGGTTATGGTTAGGTAAAAAACAAATGGCATTAATCTAATAATATTCATTATTTTTAACACCGTCGTTTCAAAATGACATTTATTTCTAATAGTTTTGTGTTTTTATATATAATGGAATTTTTATAAATATTAAGCAGAAACAATACTATAAGTAATGTGAAAATAATACGATCCCTGGTAGCACAATCGTGTGAAATTATAATACAAGTTGTTTCAAGTTTACTTAAAATAGCCAAATTGTGTCAGATTGTTTTGTGTCTATTGCTGAAATTTATATCGTTTCTTAAGCAAGATACTTTTACAATACTTGCGCCAGACTTAACCAAAAGTACTTGAGTTCAAAGGGGTGAATTAGTATAAGTCAAGTACAATATGTCTTACTTAATTCTAATGTAAGTCTGCAACAGTTACTTGCTTTAATTTACCCCTTTGTACCGCTCAAGTGCCCTGAATCAAATCCATTGAAAGCTTTGATCAAGACGATTGCACAATGAATCTTGCAGTAAAACTGATGCTGATTTCGGCAGTAGGTACACAGCAGTCTTGTATAAGTGTCTTGTGCAAGATTTTGCTACCTGGGATCTTTCTATAGTAGGTAGCTATTTTTACAGACCGACACAAACAAGTTTACGTTTCTAACTCGGGCAAAACTGTGCAAGATTCAGAAAGAACGCATAGGGCTGGTTAGAAGGAATAAGTACGCATTTGTGGTCGGAGCTATCTCAGAAGCAAACTTACTTATGTCGGTCTGTACTTGTTGCTCTTTGTCAAGGAAGAACAAAAGATATTTCTTTGAAAGATTGCATTATTTCAATTGCAATTTCACTATACCTTATATGTGTTTTTATATTAACAATATTTATACCAATTTGTAGTTTTTGCTGTCAAATAACATTGTCTGATTTCATTTCATTTCTTTTAGGAAATCATTTTTTGAATATATTTGAATGAGCTTAATATATTTGCAGTGGTGGCTGGTGCGGGGGGCTCTGGCGCGCTGCACCCCACCATAAAAATGTTCACAGAAAAAAAGTTATTTAAAATTTAGTTTACAATGTTATCTAGATAATAAAATCGATTAGCCTTATTAAACACATTAGAAAGGAAATGTTAAATTTGTAATTTAACATTTCGTCGTCTCTAAATTTGTAAAGTATTTACAGCAGTGGTCATGGTTACCATCGCGCAGCAGTGAAAGACGAAGTGGGAGTAGCGCATATTTATTATACAATTTGGGCTCTGTTTATTCAGCCCGTAACCAAATAATAGCTATTCACCACTTTTTTTCTTATTAACGTAATTTGTGTACGTGTGGTGTAAAATCTTGTTACCCAAATATTATTTCTTCTGTGTTTTTCTAAAATATTATAACAGTTTAAATTAGATTGTAAAGACAGATTAACAACACTTGCAATGCTATCTATCTATTGAAAAATCAGTGGTGCGAGAAATATCAAACTTTAATGAAACGTAATTGAAAAGTTTATTTCGCACAAAAGCCGAAAAATGGTACTTTCACTATAAAAAATATGTTGAGCAGATTGTCACTATATTTCAATAGTCCAATTATATTTGATTTTTTTTTCTTCAGCACTTTGTACCTAAATTTCCCCCCTCCCCCTCCCTGGTATAGATGTCAAAAGCCGCCACTGTACATTTGTTAAACTTAGTTAATGAGCCTACAAGAGGAAATTTTAAAAAATATCACATATCCAAAAAATTATAAGGGTAAGCTGAAAAAAGGTAAAAGGGTTGAAGATTACTGCGACCCCCTTTTGCTTAGTTCAGAATTCTATTTTTTCGATCAAAATTATGAAAAAGATGTGTTGTCAATACGTGAAAGTCTGGAAAACTTCAACTTAATACTAACAAATTCTCATTATTTCCACCAAAATGATCTGTGGTTGACGATTTGACTTTTTATACTCTGTATAAGTAAGATAAAATGAGAAAATTAGTTAAGTATTTAGGAAAATTGTACAGGAAAATTCCCAGTGTGTAATAATAAAACGATAAGATAAAGTAAAAATAAATGTAGCATAGTAAATTGGTTTTGCATTAATGGGTAGTAGTAATTGTTTATTCATAACGAATGGCATTTATATGATTGAACACTCAATAAAAATTCTTAATGTATAGTTTTAAGTAATATAATAATACAGCACACAAAATTATCCATATTTTATTCAAATACAATTTCTAATAATAATTGTGAACGGATACTTATATGAAATTTCGAATAGTTATCATAAAAAAAAATATTCGGAAACATACAGTGTGTCCGACGAGGCAGTGCACAAACTTTAAGGATAACATTCAAATAAAAATAAAAAAATAGTTTATATAATCTTTGGTCCAGAAACGCACAAGTATTTTTTTTTAATATTTCACGAACACACAACATTTGATACGATTGTGAAAAGTAACAATGCTACATCTAGGAATGAACACTTTCACTCAATGTCTAACCTTCAAAATGGTTTAGCGACCTGCTATTTCACAGGTACTATGAAATCAGGTCTTGTGTCGCCAGTAGATAAAACAATTTTTAAACTGAGATTGCGCGATATTACTACTCTGCGGACTAATGGTTCCAGACCGACATTAGACTGTCCCTGCAAAGTCTAGGATGATTCGTCAGATGAGCGTAGCGACATATACCGGTTTCGAAGATCTCATTGGCGGGACAACTGACGAATGATCTAACTATTTTTGGTGACTTAACTACAGACATGAAGTTAATATAGGTTATAGGTGAGATTTAATACTACGTCTACGAATAAAAGTACAGCTATTCAGTACCTAGACTTTCAAATTACCTACATTTAGTGCTTATAAAACTTACTAGTAACAATTAATTTCAGTCGCCAATGCCGTAGATATGGAAGGGGAATGACTACCTTTTGTAATGCATAACTTCTACTCCTATAACTTTTTAAAAATATTTGTGCACATTTGATTAAAGCGACATATTGTTTAAACTTACTTATTTTTGGCACAGTTTTCGTTTTTTTTTTCTGTATTTATTGTATATTTTGCTACTTGTGAAAAAATTTAAAAAATATCTAATAAAATAAACCCTTGCACCGAAAGGATCAATCAAGGGTTATTTTTTTATGAAAATAGTTTTGCTCTCACGTTGAAAAAAAAAACAGACAGATACAAAATACACATCACTAGATTCATGCAAAAAATTGACGTTTCGAAAATAGATCTGTTTTCTTCTTCTGAACTTCGATTTTACTTATTTTTGACCATATAACAACGGTAATCTGTCAAAAATAATTAAAGTCGTTGTAAGTTTTTTGAAACGACAACAACTTGCTTGATATATATATAAAATGTAGGATGTATTTTGTATTTATCTGTTTTTTTTTTCAATTTGGACTGTGTTGACACTTAAGAAGGAAAAGGAAGTAACTTTTTGTTACTGGCTTTTCTTCATTGTAAAATATAATTTATTGCTGTTACAAAGTTTTTTCACACAAACTAATAATTTACATATTCATTTTAATATAGCATGGTATAATTAATATAGACATATTTCAAAAAATAATTAATGTTAAAAACACATTGAATAAAAATCACTGTTGATACAATTATACAGTGCGTCTCCGATAAACTACCGCACTCTTGTAACTTTTTTATTGGTGATTTTT